GATGCAACTGGTTCGGTAATTAGAAAAGTAGACCAAGCTAACAAAAGACCTTTATACTACGCTGTGGTTATTCGAGTTCCATTACCTTTAAAAACAAAGGTTACTTGTCCAGTATCAGAAATGCTTAGCTCAGCACATGATATAACCGCCATATCACCATGANCATGATATAACCGCCATATCACCATGGCTTATGGCTTTTAAGAGTTTTGTGATAAAGGGTGATTTAGCATGGCCTATATTTCCCAATGTGGTAACAGATTTTAGTTTTGCACAAATGCATTCACTGTCCATGGCCTGGAACGGGTTCAATTCGGTATTTGACTATCTAAATTGGACTTATAAAGTTTTGTATGAAAATAATAAAGATCATTTAAATGTAACTATTATTAATATTTGCATAAATCATTACACAAAAGTTGTTGTAAGCCACGTTTATAAATACTATCAAGGACCAAAACTTGATAAAACTAAAAACACAAAAAATTGCATAATAAATTGGATTTGTATACTCTTTGATATTGAAACTATTGAAGACATTGAAAAATGGTTTAAAATGTTTGTGTTTATATTAATGTCACCTTCGTTAAATAATGATGTGATAAGCGCTATAAATATTATGGAAAGCAGCTGTAAAGTTGTTGATGAGGAATTATGCGAAAAGGATACTGACCATTTAGAAATACTTGATAAAGAATTGTGTATGTCAAATACTAGCAGGTCACTTCTATACTGTAGATTCCAGATAATTAAAAACGAAGTTCACGATAAACTTGTAACGTACAATGAACAAGACAAAAAAAATTCTTACTATGATGAAACTTACATAGAAGAGTTTATTAGCAAGTGTATACCATACATTCCACTTTGGACACCAGTTATGAATATAAAAGTAAATAACGGTATAACAGTTCGTCAAAGCAACGCAACAGTTGAATCTCATTTTAAAACGGTTAAACAGAGTTTATTAGAAAGTCAGACTAAATTGAAATCTGGACGTTTTTTAGAATCTTGTAGAGGATATGTATTGAATGTGTACAAACAATGTATGCATAATATCAGGCAAAAGAGGGCTACTAAGTCATTAAAATGTGCTGCTAAAAGGCAACTCGAATTTAGAAGTAAAACTAATGAAGAACTTATCCAAAATAAGACTTCTCATAAGCGTAAAGCTGATGACGCTCACTTAGATGCTGAAGAAAAATGGGGAAGAACTCCAAAACGACAAAAGCATCTGAAGCCAATAGGTCATCACCCATTTCAAGCAATATCCAAATCAGCAGAAAAAAAAAGGTTGAATAATGATTCACCTAAAACAGAGAAACAAACTATAAATGAAACATTATTGTTAAATGAGGTAAACAAGAAAACAGAAATTAATCAATTCAATTCAAAAATTGAAATAATTGTTTCCCCTGAAACTTATTTAAAAGATAATAGCGTTATAATAAATGATTGTGTTGATATTGAAAATATTAAAAAAAATCAGAGTCAAATTAATTCAATTAAAAATGATATAAGTAAGATATCATTTAAAGAATGTGATATGGAAGTTGAAAAATGTTCCAACAAATCAATACCAACTCCAGGTTGTTATAAAACTCCAGATAATAGTATTATTAGAAATAATTTGTACAGTAACAAATTACCAAAAAATTTGGATTATTATAGAAAGGTTGAACACAAAAATAGAGTAAGTCATTTGTTTGGCGGTAGAGTGAAACATCTGAACTATACGGTTGGAACTTATTACCATATTATACCTGATACCTTATGTACCTTACAAACATTAGATATAGAGGACTTTATTTGTCTTAATGGAAGAAACTGGTTGAGTAACTTTATAATAGATATTTGTTTGGCTATTAAAGTCCCTAAAAAACAGTCGGATTTCAGTATATTATACTGTAATCAAGTGTCTGACATTTTAAGTAAATCAGAAGTGAATGAAGAATTAACAAATAAGTATAACTTTGTTGAAAATAGTACAGTCATTATGCCATGGTATGAGAGCACTCCAAGTCATTGGATTATAGCTGTTATAAAATTTAAAACAATTTATAATACCAAAAATATACCTGAAAATTCAGGGAAATATTACATCATAGATCCATACTGTCCAAATTTGGATCCCAATTGTAGTAATCAGGCTCGAAAATATACTTCAAGGTTTCAAAAACTAAATAAAGCAATGCATAAACATTGCACTTATAATGGTGGGCACATTCCTACTATTACATGCGGAGTAATGCAAGTGTTAACTATTGTAATTAAGAATTAATATATCAATTTTCGAATAGTAATAAGAAAATAATTACAATATTAGAGTTACTTTAATCATCATAATAGACTGTTCTTACAGATAAATAGTATTTTGCTTTTACTCTTTTTAAACAAATTCTCTTTAAAATATTAATTGTCATTCACATTTTTAGGTTGTTAAAAAATTGTGGACACTCATTGTAACCACACCTATTATAAGTAATCAATTATTTATGAATGATTTGTAGTAGACAGTCCGAAGTCTGGTATTCATTATTTAAATTTATGAACAAATTATGTTTATGAATTTATTAGAATTAACAAGTGGGACGGCATTGAGTGTTTAACAGATTTGACAAAATTTCTTAAAGCATTTTTTCGTTAACAAATAATGCTTTAATCAGTGATTTTATTCTATAGCGTAATTTGGACAAAATTTTTGAAGGGTCACATTTTTTTTAAATTCATCTAAAAGGCTATTGTTTATTAAAATTATTTTATTACACATAAAATCGTTGATTATGCGGGGACTCATTTAGTTTTTTCGTAATTTTGTTATAATCATCTGTATGTTGTTAAATTCCCACTTTTTAATAAAGACGGTATGAAAGTTAAAAATGCATGTTCTACGTCTTAAAAAAAAATTGTATCATACGTTTGTAAATTAAATGGTGGTTGAAAAAATTAACTGTTAACGAGTTTTTATATTATGCTGATGAATTAATATGTATTGAACGATAAAAAATAATAAATTTCAAAAATTTCAATAACTTAATATAATAGTTCTATTACGTTAAAATTAGATAACTAATTAATGTAAAATTTCACCATTCGGAATATCTTATGAAATTACCGGGACTCGTCTACGATCACTGTCATAAATGCAAGTTGATGAGGCCAGTACGTGTGTCAATACGTTATCAAACGTATTAAGCCCTTTTTTTAATTGCAATATTCTGTTAGATCGATGAACTAATATGTATTGGTCTAATTGAGACACGATTGTCAGAAAAATGTTTTTGTTACCTGGTTATGAAGTTAGTATTAAATATATAACGAGGAAAGACATATAAAAGCAAATTAACAAAGATTTTTTTTTTAAATGTAATTTATTGTAAAAATCAAATAATTTGTTTTTTAATTAATTTTTTATTTGTCCAATGACGAAGGAGGCGGCAGCGGCGGCAATCCTGCTGCTAAAAAAAAAAAAAATGTTTTTGTTTAAATTAGTTATCTTATAGGCATTATTTTACAGTGGTCCAACGTTTAGGGAATTGAGAAATATTTTGAAATTCAATATTATCAATTTATTTTATACGATTATTGTATTTTTATCATTGTTTCATAAAATTTAAAAAGAAGTTGTTAAAATCTTTAATTTCATAAAACCATAATTGTAGCATTCTCTAATATTTGCACCACTGTAATTTGTATTATTTTGTGTGTAAAATTACATAAGCCAACATAAAATTTGAAACTAGATTTAGAGGGTGATCGAAATCTTGTAAGACACTCATTTTCTCAGAAAATAATGAGAATTTTAAATTTTATTATAGAGAAAAAGTATTTCAATCATATAATCAAATCAAAGTGGTTCCCATTAAAAAAAATTATAAATAAACATTTTTATCCCTGATGGGATAAAAAAAAAATTATTTAAATTTATATTATTGTTTTAATTAATTGTTTAATTAATTATAAAAATATCAATTGTATGTATCGATTTTTAAAAATTAAGGTTGTATATAACAACTGAAATTTAAAAATCAAATTTAATTTATTATAATCTAGGTAAACTAGAAACATAAAATGCATCCTATAAAGGTTGTCAACAGACCTTCAAAAAACTAAATGAAAAAAATGTTAAAATAAATAAGTACCTTTAATGTGGCACTCCTGTTCCCCGTGCCCGGGGAAATGGCAATGACCACAAGTCTTTTTAAATGGTGGATAACCAGCTGCTGTAATTAAAAAATAAGGATTCAATATTGAGGTAAAAATAAATCACAATTATGAATATTGTTTAATAAATGTAGTTTTTATGATTCATAGAGTGTGATGAACTGGGTGTTCCAAGTCCAAGTTCTATCACGCGAATAAGTGTGATGAAGAGTCAAAATAATAATTATAATGCAACATTCACTGATTAAACACTGACCACCAAGAAGATGGTCAAGTCTCCTTTTGTATTTACACTATTCATTTAATATTAATACCATAATACTTTCTTCAATTATGGTATTTGGCAGTAGATGAAAAAAATTACTTTTAGAATGTTATTAAATTTAAAAAGAAATATATCACAAATATTACCTTTGACATGGCATTCCATTTCCCCGTGCCCGGGGAAACCGCAATGGGGGCATATTATTGCCACTGGAGGCAGACCAGCAGCTAAAAAAAATAATTGAAATTAGCAATAATTTTCTCAATTAAGTATAATGACAAAATTAAACATTATACATGAATAAAAACTCATTGAAAGTATAACCCAATATTTGCTAACTAAATAATAGGATATACTAGTGAGAATTAAACAAAATTATTACCTTTTAGGTGACAAAAATTTTCAATGTGGCCATTTTGGCCACAGTGATTGCAAGCTGAAATTGATAAAAATAGTGTAAATCATTGTAATCTTCAATTAAAGTTTTTTTTTAATCCAAATTTAAGGTAAATTGGGGTAACTGTGAATGTATTTTAAACGATCAATGCACATGATTATATTTTCATGTTATATTTAATGATAGTAACACGTATAAGGACCAGAACTTTTAAAATAAAATAAAAGCTGATAAATAATCCTGGAGAAAATATAAATTAACAATTACCCCACTCACCTCTATAGTAATAGAACATTATGTAAAAAAATTTTTAATAACTTACCACCTCTAAATTTTTTTTTGTTTTCATTTTTGGGCTGTGGTGGCCCCCTTTTCTTACCTCCACCTCCCCCCCTCTATTGGTGAAAGTGAAATACATCTAGAACAAAATAATAATAATTAGACATAGGTCTATAGATAATTTATAAGGAGTTTTAATTACATTAACCTCCTTATTTACACTTTTAATTAAAATTCATTAATTAAAAAAATAAATATAACTTTTAGTGAAATGTCAATCATCATATTGTTTAGATAAGATAGATTATAATTAGTAATTCAAATAATTGTATTGTTAAATTTTAATTAGATTAAAAATATTTCAGAGATCTATTTATAGCAGTGAAGTTCATTCTAAATATTTTACATGGAAAAATAAATTTTATTTATACATTGGTTCAAAAATTGTTGACTCTCTTATCAATAGCGTAACTAAGGAGTTCTAGAGGGGGGCTTAGTCTCTCCCCACAAAATTAGAAAATTATGTATGTTAATAATAATACAACATACATAATTCATGTCAGAATCTAATGTACATAAATAGGATGTCCCATCAAGTTTTGACATGTATAATTTAACTATTTAAAGTTTCAAATTTTTGAGTTAATATCATATATACTATACGAGATAATTTCGAAAATTAGCGATATTTTAATTTGTAATTTGTTTGGATATTTCCCCCATTTGCGAGGAACGAGGGAAAATTTTTCAATTTTTAAGGGTAATGTCTTCAACTAGATACGATTTGTGATCTTTTGACGTATTGTTGGAAGAAATCGGTCCAGTGAGAGCTGAGAAAAAGTGGCAACAGACATAAAAAAAAAAAAAATTATTAATTTGTTAAAACATTGTGGACATTTGTTATATTGTAGATATATTTTTATTCAAAATATTTGTGGTGAAAAAAAATACAACCAGCATTCTTTAAGATGTTATTTTAGATGCACCTCATAACCACAAAATTTTGTGGCTATGATTCTTGCAAACAGAAAAATAAGAGCTAAAATTCAGTAAGCGATAGAAAAAATAAAAATATTCAGTACAAAATACTCGTACTGCGATATAAGGGGCTTAGAATGCAAGAGACACGAGTGACATGTATTTTACAAAACTAAAAAACAAATTTTTTTGACAAAACAAAATTTTAGATATTAGTTACAGAATTGTTTTGCACTAGGGAACGCGATTTCTTGCGCTCGGACCTAATGCAACCAATCATTAGAAAAAAGTAAAAGAAAAGGTCTCAATTACAAAAAAAAATTAACAAGGCCCCAAAAAACCATACTTGCTTTGGGTCTCTTTATATCTAACAGCGGCATTAGAGTTTACCTTAGTAAAGCCTCATAAATTAAAGACGTACAAAATTAAAATTATTAATTCAATATTAACAATAAATTTAAGGCCTTTTTTAATAAACACGTAATTTCAATATTGAAACTATATTAATAACAAACTAAATAAATTTTAATAAAAAATAAATTATTCATTTTAAAATATGCGTGTCAAAAAAGGCTAGTTTACAATAACAGATAACTAGAATACTTACACTTGCCACCTACGATTTAAAATGTTGAATGAAGAATATTAGCGCAGAAGACTAGCCCTAAGAATCAAATGGCCTTATCTATCGATTATCTAGTTATCAACTATCGTTTATTACTCTTATGCCGAGTTTTATTTTCTCAATGATACCGTTTTAAATTAAGGGGGGTACATAGACTTCATTTATTTATGTTAATAAACACTATTATAATTAAATATAATTGTATTATTTTTCCTGGTATTATTATATTGTATTAATTGTCCTGGTATAAAAATTAATGTTTATTAAAGAAAATATAATATATTATGTTAAAGATATTGTATTTGATACATTAAATCCAATTGTTCAACAATTGATTATTATCTGTAAGTACACAGTATCATTTACAATATAGGATAGATGCTATTCTATTATGCCATTGTTATTTAAAAGATATATAAAAGTATATATCTAAGGAAATTGGTTCGGTTGGATTGGGTTTGAAAACAATTATAGATATGAAATTAGAGTAAATAAAATTTTAAAAAAGCACTAATAAAAAGTTAATAAAATTGAACATAATTTTATAAATTAACATAAATTCAACTGAAAAATCGAAAAAGAATTGATAATTTTTAAAGGGAAGATATCCTCTTCTTACCCTTCCAATGGGCGCCCAATTACGCCTCCTTGTATGCTCCTGGATCTTATTTTTCGCGAAAACATAGTATTTTATTGTCTTGAACATTTATCTCTATAAATATTGCAAATACAAAAATATTGCACCAAAGAAAATATTTTTAAAATCTTATGCATAAAAGTTAATTACGTAAATTTTTGTAGTACTACAATTTCAGTGTAAAAATTGAAAATAATATATATATTTCAATGTATTTTGTTAAAAACTTTTATCATCCTAATTGAATCAAGAAATCTTATTTAACTACAAGGCAATTGGCTAACTTTGCCTCACGTAATATCTTTAAAGATACAAGTGTTAAAAACAATTTTTTTTTTTTTTATCTTTATGGGATCTTTGATGAGCCGTTTCACAAGAAAAATTAAATTTCTATCACCACATACCTTATACTTAGAACTTGTATTAACTTCAAATTATCAAATGACAACTCCGTATATTTTTTATATATTTCGTTCGTTATAAAAAAAAAGTGCTTAGCAAAAAAAAAAAAATTAAAAATTATGAATTTTAAACAAGATAGGCTACTTTAAAATATACGATATTTGAAGAAAAAATGCAATAGTTTTTCTAAACGGTATATTATTATTTTATGTAGTGATATGAATTACCGATTTACTTTGACAAAACAGGTAGTCTATTACTTAAAACTGGTAGCGCTTATCGATTTACGACCTATAACGTTAAAGTCTGTTATGATTTTTACTTAATAAACTCCAAACTTTAGAGAGTCGTGGAGCGCTTAATATTAAATAAAATAAAATATTTTTTTTTTATTACACTAAATCTAATGGTGCCAAAAAAATAGGGTTGCCATTTAAAATATGAAGTTGATACAAATTTTTAGCATAAGGAATGATGATAGAAACTTAAATTTTCATGTGAGACATCTCATTAAAGATCCATAATGATTAAAAAAAAAACCATTGTTTATAACACTTGTATCTTTAAAGATATTACGTAAGGCATAGTTAGCCAATCTCTCTGTATATCTGTTTTGCTGATGGAGGAATTTAATACAAAATTTACTAAAAATGAAAATCAAAAACAATTAATTATTTAGAATTTAATTATTATTATACTCTCTAATATTGTTCAACAATTAACAATGTATTTATTGTAAAGGTCGTTCGAGAGTACAGAAATAATTATCATGTTTTACCGCAATAAATTTAAGTTTTGACATCAGATTTTAACAAAATACATTGAAATATACATATTCTTTTTACAATTTTTACAATGAAATTGTAGTATTACAAAAATGTACGTAATTAACTTTTTTTTTATACATAAACATTATTAAGTAAAATTAAAACTATATTAAATATATTATTAATTTAAAAACAAACTAAAAAATATTAAAAATATTAAACTCAAAGCCACAAAAAATTAATGAAAAGTCGCGGATACGTATTTCGGAAACAATGTTACCATTATCAACGCTAAACACATACTCATTATTTTTACATTATTATACATTATTTTATTATATAAACATTATTGTTTAATAAAATCAATACTTTAGAACTCAATATTTTTTTTTCTTTTATACTTTTATACTTAAACTAATAAAAATAATAAGAGGATCAGATGAAATGAAAAGGATATGTATGAAGTCTGTGTTGGTATCTTATCTCAAAGTTTTACGGATATTTTAGCGTCTAAATGTGATATCTATATTTCACACTTCCTCAAATAAACTACCAATTGGAAAATGAGCAAGTTCAATAACTTTTTAACTATGTATTTAAATCCTATGGAAACTTGAAAGACATAGTATCCGTGGTGTAGAAACCAATTTTATACAAAGGATAAAATTTTAAATACACCATAAAAGTATCTTTTGCATAATTCTCATACTTTTCTTGATTTACATCATTACACGCCTATTGTACTTAAAATCTCTTTAAAACATTTAAGCAGTTTTTTATTTAATCCAGTTATTTCAGAAACCACCGCTGGAAAATCAACGTCAATTTAATTTGACGCATAATTCGGAGAATTACACAGTACAGTCGTTCTACTCTGAAACATATTTAGAACTTAATTATATATAAAATATATAAATACTACTCGCCAGTAAAATAATCAACCTTTAGGGCCGATCTATATTAATCTGTTTACAATAATTGTCCACCTGCATAACAAACAACATCTATTCAATAAAAAAAAATTGTATATAACCTAAACGTAGTAAACGTTATTCTTTATCGCTCTTCCCGGAAATTCTTCTATGCACTAGTTTATTTTTAACATAACATACACCCTCTTAGATAGCTAATATTAAGCATTCCCATTATTGATAAGTACAGTTTTATTTCATAAAGCCGGTTTCACGCTATGCGTTTTCGACCCTGCGTCGGAAACACTGGCGACACTAGTCTAAATTGATACTGTGTATTTCTATAATCGCCTACACACTGCAATAAAGAACNCTATAATCGCTTACACACTGCAATAAAGAAGCGCGTTTCCGATGATGGCCGACGCTCATGTTTGATTTTTGCCGTCTGGACGCTAAAATAGAACAATTGGTTTATTCAAATACTTAGGTTTTGACAGCGTTTTCATCGCGCGTCGAGTATCATTTTTGTTTTATCATTTTTTGATCTTCTAAGTATCCTTGTACTCCTAAGTATTTTTGAAAATTAAAAAATTATTTGGTATGTTTAATATCAAAATATTTATAAATGTTGTCAAAAATTAGATTATTTGGAATTCAGTAAAATTAAGTAAAATTAAAACTATATTAAAAATATTATTAATTTAAAAAAACTAAAAAATATTAAAAATATTAAACTCAAAAGCCACAAAAAATTAATGAAAAGTCGCGGATATATCTAACTAAAAAATCAAACTAGGCTATATCCTAGGAATGCCACAACTTGAAGAGACGCTGCGGCCGGCAAAACTTTGATTTTTTTTTAGATATCATTCCTTTCTGCGAATTAAATTTTCAATCTACTAGAATTAATGTAGTTTTTTTAGTAAATTAGTTACTCGGTATTGTAAAATTATAAAAATAGCACGGAATATATTCTACAATATATATATATAATGTGATTGGGCAGGGTAGCTACGGCACGATGGTATATATTATCAAAAATAATAATCGGCGACGGCGGTCGTGTAAATTGTATCGAGCAACCAAATCAAGGAAACACCAAACGTATTATTAATTAATTTTTCTTATTTTTTATAACTGTGCAAATTTTTGTTGTTTACATTAATAAGTTGACAACTATATATACTGAATTAACCGTTTATTAACAGAGTAAAAATATAATTATTATTTTTTATTGTTGTATATTAATTATAATTTATGCAGGACTGATTTTTTTTTCATTATAATTTAAACTACAAAATTTCAATAGATAATTTTTTTACGTTGACTTTTAAATATTTTTAAAGTAACTATACATTATACATTAGGAAATACGAATTTTTAAGTAAATTGGGAGGGGGTCCCATTCTATCTGTGTCCTCAGAAGTGGGCGTCTGTTCCTTATTAGCCTAGGGACACTTTTTGGATAAATCCGACCTTGCTGAGGTACTATTATTAACAGCGTAATCCAAATTAAAATCGATGGGGATACATAGTTATATTTACTAGTCCAGATATTTTCTATACATTTTCTGAAAGCTTATAAAAAACTCTATAAGTGGTGTGAAAAGCTAACGGGTGAAACGTGCAGGAGTAACTGAATATTGCAAATCAAGACCGCGAAAATTACTTTTGGTAGCGTATAAACGCAACAACTCGGCCACAGTAATTGGCGAATTGGTGAATGTTCCGAGACGAGTCCAGATATTTTCTATACATTTTCTGAAAGCTTATAAAAAACTCTATAAGTGGTGTGAAAAGCTAACGGGTGAAACGTGCAGGAGTAACTGAATATTGCAAATAAAGACCGCGAAAATTACTTTTGCTAGCGTATAAACGCATCAACTCGGCCACAGTAATTTGCGAATTGGTGAATGTTCCGAGACGAGTCCAGATATTTTCTATACATTTTCTGAAAGCTTATAAAAAACTCTATAATATAATATCAAATGCTGAGTTGTTAAGTGCAGTGGTCGTTCACAATTATCCGTGTTTGTACGGCGGTGTATACGATAGTAAGCGTATTTATACTCCCACCGGCCGTTAGATCCTTCTAGTGTGTATGATTAGTGAAATCGTTTAAAATATGCTTTTTTTTATTATGTGTCTACATCTATCGGTTAGAAAAAGCGTTATACTCTATAAAATATCGGTAACCGGAGTGTAACCAATATTTATTAGTGATAAGAAGTTGGTGGACCACGAATTGGTAGCTTCACACTCGTTAAAAAACACATCCCATTGTGTTTCCATTAAGTTCTTAGATGCATTATAAACTTATTTATAAAAATATACTAGTTGATAACTGATAAAAACTCAGAGATACTATCACAGTGTTGTTAACCTAATAGATTGACAGCAAAAAAATAAAAATTCCTCAAGTT